CCCCCCTCACAGCAATGGTCTGTCCCAGGTGTGTCTGTGCCCCCCTCACAGCAATGGTCTGTCCCAGATGTGTCCCCCCCCTCACAGCAATGGTCTGTCCCAGGTGTGTCTGTGTCCCCCCCCACAGCAATGGTCTGTCCCAGGTGTGTCCCCTCTGTCCCTATGTCCCCTCCCTCTGGTGTCCCCTCAGCCGTGTGTGGCCCTGTCCCCGTGTCCCTGACTCTGTCCCCAATGTCCCCTCGGTGTCCCCTCAATGTCCCAATGTCCTCTTGGTGTCCCCACTGTCCCTGCTGTCCCCACTGTCCCCAGTGTCCCTGTACAATGTCCCCAATGTCCCCAACGTCCCCTCACTGTCCCCAGCGTCACCATTCCCCAATATCCTTCCAATGTCCCAATGTGCTCTTGGTGTCCCCACTGTCCCCAATGTCTCCTCAATGTCCCCAATGTCCCCATCATCCCCTGGTGTCCCCAGTCCCCCCAATGTCCCCTCAGTGTCCCCAATGTCCCCGCTGTCCCCTCAATGTCCCAAACATCCCTGGTGTCCCCGCTGTCCCCAGGCTGCCACAGTGGGAGGACCCTTGCCGGACGCCATCCCTGATGTCCCTGTACAGTGTCCCCAATGTCCCCAATGTCCCCAGTGTCCCCAATCCCTCCAATGTCCCCAAATGTCCCCTCTGTCCCGATGTCCCCAGTGTCCCCAATGCCCCAATGCCCCCAATGTCCCCAACATCCCCAGTGTCCCCAATGTCCCCTTGGTGTACAAATGTCCCCAACATCTCCCAATGTCCCCAGTGTCCCCAATGTCCCCTCAGTGTCCCCTCTGTTCCGCTGTCCTCAGGCTGTCGCAGTGCGAGGACCCTTGCTGGGCACCATCCCTGATGTCCCCAATGTCCCCAGTGTCCCCAATGTCCCCAGTGTCCCTGTACAATGTCCCCAAAGCCCCCATTGTCCCCAATGTCCCCTTGGTGTACAAATGTCCCCAACATCCCCAATGTCCTCAATGTCCCCAATGTCCCCTCAGTGTCCCCAATGTCCCCTCACTGTCCCCAGGCTGCCGCGGTGCGAGGACCCTTGCTGGGCGCCATCCCTGATGTCCCCAATGTCCCCAATGTCCCCAACATCCCCATTGTCCCCAATGTCCCCTTGGGTGTACAAATGTCCCCAACATCCCCAATGTCCCCAACATCCCCTCAATGTCCCCAATGTCCCCCCAATGTCCCCTCACTGTCCCCAGGCTGCCGCGGCGCGAGGACCCCCGCCGGGCGCAGTGGCTGGAGAACAGCCGGCGCCGGGACCCGGCCGGGGGCGGCCGCTGGGACCCCAGCTCCAAATACATCTACTTCTGCTCGCAGCACTTTGAACAGTCCTGCTTCGAGCTGGTGGGCTACAGGTGAGCTACAGGTGTGCGACAGGTGTGTACAGGTGTGTGCAGGTGTGTGCAGGTGTGTGCAGGTGTGTGACAGGTGTGTACAGGTGTGTGACAGGTGTGTACAGGTGTGTGACAGGTGTGTACAGGTGTGTGACAGGTGTGTGCAGGTGTGTGCAGGTGTGTGCAGGTGAGCTCCAAGTACATCTACTTCTGCTCGCAGCACTT